AGGTCCAATCAAAGCCAGGCTCTTTGAATAGAACCATTTAATGTTATTGTGCAATCTGCTCTCGGTGGAGATAGCAAAAAGTTGATGATTAAAATTCTTATGACAAATAAGTTTGTGCGCTTGTGAGTTGTGGTTCCACAATTGTGTTTGGCAAAAACAAAAGCAAATTGAAATCAGTAGCAGGGGTGAGGGGGATCATTTTTGTTTGCATTTCCTTCTCTTATGTGCCGCATCCTTTCAGTGATTGTGGTTCTCCACAACTTTCTATTTCATGTGTCTCTTAGCAGTTTTTCTCTCTTTGCTGAGTACCTCCTTGTTCCACCATCCATTCACCCACCTTTGTCTGGTATGTGCCTTGTTGCTTTTCCCTGTCTCTCTTGCCCTCAAGATGCCCTGTGAGGGTTAAGTTTTAAAATTCTCTTTTTCCTAATGCGTCCAAGTAATTTCAGCTGTCTTTTCCTGATTTTGAGTAGACCTGTTCTTGTGTTGTTGCTGCTATATTTTAAGTCTTCCATGTTGCTTACATGCTTTTACTAATGCAAAATAAGTTATCATCATCCCAACACCCATTTACTTCCCAAAAGATGACGTAAAGATTTAAGAAAAACATTTTCTTGAAGAAATGTCACAGATGATTTTTTCTTATCTGATGTAACATATAGATTTGTTTTTTTGCTTACCCCACTTATTCCCTACCAATTGTTGCTTGTAAAATAATTTCCTGGCCCAAAGTTAACTCCCTGCTTTACAAAATTAAATCATTTGGACCTGAAGTTTAATAGCTATAAATTCTGCTTTGTGAAAACGCAGTCACCAGCACATATATTTATTGTTTTTTATTTTCCTCACAGGTGTTGTTTAAGGTATCTTCTTGTGTATAATACACCTTTAGCATAATGTAACTTAATGTTTCAAAAGCTGAAAACAAGGAATAAATTACATCTTTGACTATAATATGACTTCATAATACAGCCATTTCTATGTATTTTTCTTTTTCTTTTTTTTTTTATAGAAAAATTGTGCTATATTATCTATTGAAATCTCAATATTGTACATATATCTCACTAAAATATTAAATTTTTCATTATATTAAAGTAGGTACCTCCACTAACTTTTGATACCTAAGGCTTAAAATGAATTTAAAAAAATGAAAAAGCATTATTGAAGCTTTCTTTTTAGCTTTAATTGAAAGCTAGATGATTAAATTTACTATTTAGAAGAAGCAAGATACTTTTATGTATTTCATTTATATTGATTGGAATCTCAACTTTTTGGTTGCTTTCAGTAAAGTCATTAAAATTGGCCATTTTTGACACATTTGTAAACAAAAGTTAATACTAGGTTTTAAAAATCTTCCAAAAAAATAAAATATACTTTGTGAAACTTTGAATTAAAATTAATCTGATTTGTAAAAAATATTTTTTACTTAAGTTTAAAATAACAGAGAAATGAATTTTTAAAACAGTAATGGGCTTATGTGCATGTCACTCATAGATTACTTAACAGGCACTGATAAGGTGTTGACATGTTTGTTATTCTAAAGGTGACTTTATCTGTTAAAATATAATTTAGGGAAATGATGGGTGAGCACTTTTTTTTTTTTTTTTTTTTTTTTTTTTTTTTTTTTTTTTTTTTTTTTTTTTTTTTTGATATAATTTTGAAGTACTCTGTAATCTTAAAAATGTTGGAAAATATTATCCGTTATCTAATTTTAGGAATGTTGACTTTAAAATTTACTATGGTCTTCATTCTTATTTTCTTATGTGGTCAATCATGTTTTAAACAGGGGCATATTAATATTTTATACACATAAAAAAATAAAAAATAATTTAAAAAATCTTGAAGCAAAATGTCTTTTGAGCTTTTCAATTTTTGATTTGTAAATGTAGTTTTCATTTAATAACAATATCATCTAACTTTGGAAAAGTAATGCAGAATTTTAAATGATTTTATATATTATAAATTATTATAATTACAATTAAAAAAAAGAAAATGAACACAATTCTTGTAAAACTTCTTTATTCATCAAAAAAAACTTTTTTTCTGAAGACAATAGTGTCTTTAATAAATCTTATTATAAAAGCAATTAAACGCTTTTCTACTTAAATAATGTCAGTTTTATTGCATTTATTTTATGATTTAGTTCAGATTTCTGGGAAATGTGTAGTAGTTTGGAAAAAAAAAAAAATTGATGATTTACATTTGCCAAGGAGTCCTGCTTTTAACTAATAAAGATTTTCTCAGGAAAATTTCATTTCTTGAAATGAAGTGTGTGTGTGTGTGGGGGGGGTTAACATGTAAAACAATATTTTTTTAACCAAGATTTTCTAAAAAAAAAAAAAAAATTTTTTTTTGAATTGATTTCATTTCATTTATTGGTGAATAAATCCTGAAAGTTTCATTAAAATCTGACAATTATTTGATTTGTGTAAGAATTTCCAAATCAATGTGTTTTTCATCTGAAAAAAGGTGCTAAAACATTCTGCATAAATATTATGTCGACTGCAGACCTAAAAAAAAAAAAAATTTTTAACCTAAGTTTTGAACACGCTAGAAAAGATTAAAAAAATTAAAATAATAAAAAAAAAATACTTTGATCTTTCCTCTTAATAATAGCATACACATTTTGACAAAACTTTTTTCAGCATGCTATTCTGTTTTTTTTTTTTTTTTTTTCAGCAAAAAAGTGGAGGTACCTATATTAAAGAATAGAAATGAACTGGATGTTTAGCCATTTCATGTTTGTTCTAGTTTCCATTTCAAAACTAATTTTTCAGATTTTCAGGAAAAGGTTCAAACAAGGCATACCTGGCAATACATTTTCAGGTGTTAATTAATCTATCATATTTTTCTGTTTGATCTGACTTTATTATATTTCATTATTTTAATAAACTATGAAAAAAAAACCAATTATTTTTCTTTAAGAATGAAAAAGGAAAACTTTATTAAAAAAAAATCAAGAAACTCAAAATATAAATGAATTATCTTCTGAACAAAACTGTTCTAATTTTTAACATTGCACTGATTCCCAAAGAACAAATATCGCTGTCATATCAGATAGCTTTTGTAAACAATTGTTATCAACACTTGGCTACTTTTTATTATCTATTGTCAACTGAGTTTATTTGCAATCTTGCAGTTTCAAATAAGAGGTTTTTTAAAGTTGAGTAAAAATTTTTGAAAGCATGTACTTGTGTATATAAAAGGCCTCCCTTTTGCTTTTAATTCAAAATTTCTTGTATTATGCACAAGAAAATACTTTTTCCAAAAATATGTTTGACAGTGAATATTATTTTGTAAAATATTAATTAACCAACAAGTTTAAGTATTAATTTGATATAAAAATAAAGGAAAAAGTTTTCTAATTAAGAAAAGATGGCATTTTTGAGATATTAAAAGAAATTATTTTCCAATTTAAATTTTTCTTTTAATCTTTATTTTATTTTTTCTGATTCATGAAATGTTTTATATTGATTTTTCATTGGCGATTTGAGAATTTTTGTCTTGTCAAAAAGACAGTCTTGTTTGCTATGGAAAATAATGCTTGGCTGCATCTGATACTTAATGGTGTTGAAATATACACCTTGTATGTTGTTTGGTTGTTTCTGGATATTTGATTCCAGGATTCTATTTTTGTTCTTCAAATTTGGTTGAATTCTTTGTTTCTTCTGTTTTAAAATTCTCTGGGATTTGTGTGTTCTGTGCCCTCTAATCTTTTTGTATTTACTGTTTTGGTCTTGTTGCTCAATTGTTTTTCTTGGTTACTCTTTCTTTTTTTTATTTTTCCATTGGCTCTTCCTTTTCATAACATGTTACTTTTTTTTTTTTTTTTTTTTTTTTTTTTTAATAACTAAAACGACATTTTTAAAATCACTCCATCTGTTTCTCAGATTATTTATGCAAAACTGGCATGTTTCAAATCATGACTCAATTTGCATTTGTCTGACAGGATTTTTTTTTAAAAATTTTTCTTATTAAACCTTAGTGTGAATAGCTGCTATTTTAAAAACAAATTCTTACCTACTATCTACCGATAGATGTAAAGAAATATTGTTCTTGGAATTTCAGTGACTTAAAATGTAAATCTGTAAGTAATAAACTGGATTTTATTTATTTTTAGCATCCAATGAGATTTCTTTTTCTCTTGTCTGCTGGAAAATATAAATATAAAAAATGTCCTATATTTTTTGCATTACTCAAAATTAATACGTTTATAGAAATATATCTCCTCTTAACTGTATCAATGAAGTAAAAATATGTTTACTTCATTTATTTATTTATTTATGTTTACTTTATTTTTTATTTTTTTGTCTGTAATTTTTTGGTTTATACGTTTTTTTTTTTGTTTTTTTTTTAATTGATTATGAAATTGTATAATATTGGCTTATGGCAACATCACATTGAAACCATGGTTCCCATACAATCACTGAAGTTAAGCAAGGTCAAATTTGGTCAGCACCTTCATAGGTGACCACTTGGGAATACCAAGTAAGCATCAATATGTGTATGGTTTAATGGATAATGGCTTATAATTGTTAATTGGAGAGCTGACTTTCCAATTACTGTTGGCTTTGTTATATTCACTTACATATAAATATGCTTGGGAAAGGTACTAATCCACCTTTTCTCCCCCTCAGCTATTGGTTAATTAGTAAGACTTGTATCACTACGCTATTATTATTTAAAAAAAAAAAAAACCCCAAAAAACTTAAAATCCCCCAAAATATTTTCTGGTTTTAAATAATCTGCAAAGGGTTGGTAAGCCATAGAAAATGAATTAATTAATCATATAAAATATTTAAAACAGTTCATGTAAAGAATGGTTATAGACCTTATTGATTTGTTCTTTTCAGTTTTAGTGATGATTTTTTTTTTTTTTTTTTTTTTTTAAATCTACAATATCATGAAGTCATTCTTGAATTATTTTTATTTTCATTCATCGCAGCCAAAATTTAGCAGCGCATGCTTAATTGTAAATTCTGATTCAAACTAAAAAAAAGGAACATTTTTCTTTTTTCTTTTTCTCTCTTTTCTCTCTTTTCTCTCTCTCTCTTCTCTCTCTCTTTTCTCTCTCTTTTCTCTCTCTCTTTTCTCTCTCTTTTTCTCTCTCTTTTCTCTCTCTCTCTCTCTCTTTCTCTCTCTCTTTTCTCTCTCTCTTTCTCTCTCTCTTTCTCTCTCTCTCTTTCTCTCTCTCTTTCTCTCTCTCTCTCTCTCTCTTTCTCTCTCTCTTTTCTCTCTCTCTCTTTCTCTCTCTCTCTCTCTCTCTCTCTCTCTTTTCTCTCTCTCTTCTCTCTCTCTCTCTCTCTCTCTCTCTCTCTCTCTCTCTCTCTCTCTTTCTCTCTTTCTCTCTTTTAACCTTCCAATATTTATAAAATACTAAACATTTTTTTTTTTTTTTTTTTACAAGTAAATGTTTGTGAAATTTTTCTTTTTAAAGTTTTATTTTGTGTGTGTATATATGTATGTATATTTTTATATTACTAAATCAGCTTCTAAACCAAAACGGACAAATTAAAAATGATTCAAACAAAATAACTATTTATCTTATAACTGAAATTGTTTTTTGGTTTTCAAGGTAAACAATATCAAGTTTGGGGCATTTTATTTATTGCATACAAACTCTTAGCAAGATAATCATAGCCACACTATTGAATTGAGAGATATGTTATTTTTAAGAAATTGTTTGGTATTGAATTGATATTGGTTTATGATGAAAATCACTAACAAAAACAAAAAAAGATTCATATGTTTGAAATTTCTATCACTGTTTATATTAACAAATAGTATAAATTAAATTTTTCCCCTTCTGATAACTGTCCATTGACATTACTAACAAACTGTTTTATTCTTTGAAATATCTTAACACTTGACAGCAGATTCACCTTTTTATCATTGTTCCTCTTTATGTATTGTACAGTAAATGTATATATGTTCATTAAGCTTAAGGTTTTGAAAAAGTTTTGCATCATACAAAAAAAAAAAATTAATACTTTTTTTTTTTTTTTTTTTTCCTAGGAGAAATGTATATTTTGAATCTTAAATTTTCCAAGTGACCATTTGAAATTTTTAAAGTCTAATTGAGAAAGTTCATCAGAAAGTGTTAGTTTTAATATAAGAATAAATTTGTGATTGTCTCACTTACCTGAGAGGCCAGACTAGCAAAATCTTTAATATCTTTTGGGGACATTTTGTACATTGAAAACAAGACATGCATGGTTCTACATTTGGCTAGTTTTAAACCCTTTCAAAGGGTTAGAAATCATGAAGCATAGTGGATAATTTTGATCAGATTGGTAGATTCAAATTGGTGAAACTTTAATTTTTTTTTTTTCCGCAAACCACAACACAATTATTTAATGCACCTTTCAAGTTAATGTCTTGGATGCAGGGAATGGCATTCTGAAATCTGATGAAAATGTGCACAGGCCAAAAAAGGGTAAGAACCACCAATAAAGCAGTTAACAAATTCTTATTTTTAACCCTTTCTATGGTGTACATGTGTACATACGTTGTTACCGAAGGTGCCTTTTTTAGACACAGATGAATAAGCACGTCCAAAACATAATGTTCAAAAACCAGCTACAGAAATGTTTATACATTGATCTTGATTCTTTTTTATACCCTTCTGAACTTGAAACTAGTTCAATTGTCAGCTCTTACGTTTGGTAGGAGTGATAGCCACCACTCGGGTACTTCAAAATGCCTCAGTTTCTTAGTTACTATATTAAAAGCAAATAAAAAAAAAACAAATTGTCTGAAAATGAAACATTTTTCCCCAAAAAATTGGCGGGGAAGGGATTAAGACACTTCTGAGCTTCTATTTACTTTACATATCTGTGTGTGAACCAGTCTAGGAGAAGGAAACCTCTGAATTAAAAATCTAAGGAGGATCGTTTGTAGATTTTATAGCACACTATATGCACCATTATTGTCTATTTGCTTTTCCTCTAAGAAGTGTAGCTGGTTCTGTACAAGCCTCCACAACTTTAGCAGATAAATATATGTAGCTAGTTTGGCAGTTCAGTTTTAAGAGCTGAGTTCAGTGGAGTCTCACCTGTCAAAGATATCAGGAGAGATCATGATATATATATGAATTGGCTCATTACCAGATTAGGTTTTCTCTTCTAATGACAAACTGCTTAGATTTTTGTCTTAGTTTCTATAAAATATTTAATTTTCCCCACATGCTGAAATAAATTTACTTTTGGTGTTTCCTGAATAATAATAAACTATTTTATTTGTTCAAAGGAAACCAGAAATATGATGTGATCAAATAAAAAGAGCTGACACCATGGGGAGTCACTAAACAGCTGTATTTTTAGTGTTACTTCTATTTTATGTTTAATTTCTCTGTCAATAATTATTTTTCTTTTTAAAGCAATTCACTGATCTTCTCTGTTTTTGTCATGCTTGATTATTATTCGAAAAAAAAGAAAAAGGAAGGGTTACATGATGGGTTCATTCCTGATTATCACCAAGATGATTGACTGAGAAATATTTTTTCTTTCCTCATATTGCTTGAAGATTATTTGTGAAAATGGGATAATTCTTATTTTACATTTCCATGAATCATGCGAGTCAATTAAAAAAACTTTTAAATAATATGTAAGATTTTCTTTTTTTCGTTTTAAAACCATATTTGGAATCTTGACTACATTTCTATTTGAGCAAATCTTAAACTTTGTTTCTCTTCTTCACTTGAAAAAAAAAAACAAAAAACTGTTGAATTTTAAACTGATTTAGATTTTAAATATTGATTTGAAAAATAATAATATAAGAATCATTAATATTATTTCGTTTATTTTTTTTTTTTTAAGGATTTTTGTCATTTTAATTAAGTTTGGCTTCCAGTTCACCTATGATAAACAAAACATTTAAAGTTTCTGGTTGTAGAAAAATGATTTAAACTTATTTACTTTGATCTCATTTCTATACATTTCTATTTTGTGAAAATATTTTATTTCTCAATGGTTACACACAGAAACCTTTCCATTCATACACTTATGATAGATGAATGAGATTTTAATATTTGTGATACAGTTGACCTTTCAAAAAAAAATGATGTCACTTACTAATTTATGTAAAAATTACTGTATTTTAATTCTTCTTGGCTTTGCTTTGACTGTTTTATCAGTGTTACAAATTTCCATGTATATTTTATCAATCTTATTTCTATTGCCGTCACGAAGTTGCCAAAAATACATTTTTTTCCAATGCTTTGATAACTGGTGCTCTTAGGTCTTGAATAAAAAGCTGGTGGTATTGGAATTATTTTATTAAAAAAAATCTAATAAGCAGTGGGGTTGAAAAATCTGAGGAGGGGTGGGTAGGAGTCTAGAATTTAGTTTATTTGAATTAAGAAATAGTATGTAAAAAAAAAAATACAACAGTAAAATATTGCTTGCAAGACCCACTACCAAATTTTCTTCTCAGTCATATTTTTTAAATTATTTATGAATAATTTTATTTGAATGTAGTTTTAAAATGGAATGAAATATTATTTGAATGTAGTTTTAAAATGGAATGAAATATAATTTGAATGAAGTTTTAAAATATAACGAATTATGATTTGAATGAAGTTTTAGACTATCAAATCTGTTTCACAATTGGAGAGAATCATTTTCTTAGAAAAAAATTATTTTCTCGGGTTTTCATGAAAATAAACTGGGGAGAGGTTATGTAATAGGACGGGGTTGTGAAATTAAAAAAAAAAAATCAATAAGTAGAGGTCTATATTTTACAGACCCAAGAGTACCAGATTAAAATAGTAATTTACTGCAAAATAAAATTTAGTATGCATTGGAACAGAGTGTAGTATCTGTGTGCTCATCTTAGATTCAAAGTGCCATTCTTCTGCCTTGGATCAGATTATGCGCTGTATAAAGTGTTACACACATTATATACATGTATTTTTTTTCTTACATGTATAAATATATGTTTAATCTTTGTCTAGAAGTAATTTAATGTGTTTTAGTAGGATACAGAATCTGAACAAAAGTGGAGAAATTGGTCAATTTTTTTTAATAGGAAAAATAACACAAAATTTGTTTTTCATTCTGACATTAAAACGCCTGCTTGACAACCTAATGAAGGCAAAACACTCTGTCAATAGAAAGATTTTTCACTTTGTCAGATTTCTCCACAATTTACTGTTTGATTAAAATGACTATTCTAACAAACTTTCTCAAGTGAAGTCTTAGTTAACATGTTTTATACTTGAATCTGATCTCTGGTAAAAACTGAAAATTGAAAAGAGTAAATTAAACAAAAATACAAGCACACAAAACTAATAACTTTGCTGTCAATGTTTAATTTGATTCCATTTTCATATGTGAGGCTAGATAAATAATAGACACTTACATTTTCCCTGTTTCGATACCTGAAATTAAAGGAGAAAAAAAATGAAAAAAAAAAATCAGAAAAAAATATTATTTTTAGTTACCAAGAAGACCAAATATGAATTTTAGCAAGCAAATGTCTTGGTAAATATATCACTATTTTGTGTGCGCGTGTTTGTGTCTTCTTTTGACTTTCTGTGTGTGCATTGCATTGTTTTTGTGTGCGGATGTCTCATGTCCTCGTTTGTGTGAGTACGTACACGTACACATAGATGTGTTTGTCTGTGTCTCTGTCTGTCTGTCCGTCTTTCTGTGTCCGTCTGTCTGTGTCCGTATCCGTCTGTCTGTGTGTGTATCCGTCTGTCTGTGTGTGTATCCGTCTGTCTGTGTGTGTATCCGTCTGTCTGTGTGTGTATCCGTCTGTCTGTGTGTGTGTCTGTCTGTCTTTTTGTGTGTGTCTGTCTTTTTGTGTGTGTCTGTCTTTTTGTGTGTGTCTGTCTTTTTGTGTGTGTCTGTCTGTCTTTTTGTGTGTGTGTCTGTCTGTCTGTCTTTTTGTGTGTGTGTGTGTCTGTCTGTCTTTTTGTGTGTGTGTGTGTCTGTCTGTCTTTTTGTGTGTGTGTGTGTCTGTCTGTCTTTTTGTGTGTGTGTGTGTCTGTCTGTCTTTTTGTGTGTGTGTCTGTCTGTCTTTTTTTTGTGTGTGTGTGTGTCTGTCTGTCTTTTTGTGTGTGTGTGTGTCTGTCTGTCTTTTTGTGTGTGTGTGTGTCTGTCTGTCTTTTGTGTGTGTGTGTGTCTGTCTGTCTTTTTTTTTTTTGTGTGTGTGTGTGTCTGTGTGGCGGACATGAGACAGAACCTGGGACGAAAACAACTGGTCGCGACTTTTGTCCCCAAAAAAGAGCCCGTATTTGCTTAGCATGTAAAGCTACTGCAGTTGAAATGAGGGAGAAAAAAAAGCACTTACCGCTCTGGCGTAATCCATCCTCGCCAGATAACATAAAAGAATGAGGGGGACTGGCATTT